AAGCGTAGAGCGTAAAGGCCGGTTCGCAAACATCCAACATGGCCGGGGAAGGGTCGCTGCAGGCGCATGGAGAGCGGCCCTTAAGAACGAAGCCTAAGGGCGAAGCGAAGGCACGCGGCAACAAGCAAGATGGCGAAGGAAGTTAGTTAGTTAGTTATTTATTTACTTCAAATTACAGAAGCTGGCGTGGAAGAGCCGCTGCTCTTATTCGCCTCTTATACGATTAGTTACATGTTTCTTTAGTTTTAACAATAATAACACAGATGGCGCAGTAGAAGCCGCTGCTCCCACTGGCCTCTACTAACATACACCCTCTCATACTTATAGAACTTATAACACTTATAATCTACCAAAAAAGATTTACAAATTACCAACACAAATTTTCTCCAAAACAAAACATATCCTGCACACATTACTATGTTACAGAGATGTAAAAATTAATACATATTCTTACTTAACCCTACCTTATTATCTATCAACTCCTTTTTACACCACGATATTACATTTCTTTAAAAAGCCCGCAATCAGTCTGAGGGCCCTCCACTCTCCCATGGCGCTACTTTCAAAAAACTGTGCCCCTCTTGGTACATTGCACCTTCTTAAATTTTCCACTAATCTAACTCTTTGGTCCACATACTTATTGCAAGACCATAGAACATGCTCTATGTCTTCAAAATCATCACAAATGTCACAATAGGGAGAATCTTTCATAAATTTCCTGAATAATGACCAGTTCAAGTTATAATGATCTGATCTAATCCTATTAAGTATCGTAATAGTATCTCTCTTAACATTCCCAAGAAACCTGAACCAGGGGAAATCCTTCCCCACATTGTTCCATTTGGATCTAAAATATTTTCTCCCCTTGAATTCCCCCTGCCTCAAATTTCTCTCATCAGATTCTTTCCATTTTTCCTTCACGATAACTCGCTTAATATCTCTCCACAAAGCTTTTACCCAAAATTCAGGCTCACCTACAGTATATTCCTTCGCCACCCCATTTGCTCTTTCATTACCTGTTATCCCTACATGAGCTGGGATCCAGGCCAATCCCACTCTACCTTCCCCTTCTTCTGATGCTTCAAAATTTCTTTTCTTTATTCCCCTTCTTATTTCATGTATCACGCCCATCTCTAAGATTCCTCTTTCCTCCCCTCCCAGAGCCCTAATGGCACTCAGAGAATCCGACAATATCAGAACATCCCTGTCCCTAAACCTTTCCCTCGCTATTTCCACCGCTCTTCCAATAGCCTGTAACTCAATCGAGAAAACAGAACACGATGGGTGCGCCGTGAACCCCACTTCTTCCCATTCATCCCTCCCTCTCCTAATTACTATCCCACCACCTCCATTTTCCCTGCCCTCGATTCTCGATCCATCTGTGTAAATCTCCAATATGCTGCTGCTCTGTCCAAAAATCTTTTTTTTGATTTCTCCTAGAAGGGCCTGTTCTGGAAACCCCTCCACCAGCATGTTCCCTCCCGAATCTATATCCAGCCATCTTTCTATTCTTTCTTCACTCCATTTGCCTTTTTTCGAACCTTTCCCTCTCCTTTCCATAACCTCCAACCAGGTTCTGCTTGCCAACCACCCTTCTTTCACCAGGTCAACCTCTTGCCTAGCTTCCCCTGACTTTCCATTCCTAATCCTTCCTTCAATTGCTTGTATAACCTCTCTATCCTCTATAAAACCTTTCCTGACCATGTACAACACAGCTAACATACCTAATCTCACTTCTAAATTCATCACCCCTGCTTCCACCTCCATCACATTGATTGGAGTGGACAACCTATATCCTAAAGCAACTCTAATTCCCGCATTGTGGATCTTTTGTAACCTATCCGTGAACCTATTCCTATTCCAGTAAACTATCGATCCATATTCTATTACGGACCTGATAATAGCTTTAAACACCCTTAATGCCGTTTCTGGATCGGCTCCTTTATTAACTCCTCCTATACACTTCAGAATGTTCATCCTTTTCCTAACCCTTTCTACCACATATTTAGCATGCTCTCTAAACAATAGGTTTCTATCGAATACTACTCCTAAAAACCTTGCCTGCCCAACTTCTTCCACATCTATATCCCCTAAGCATATCCTACTGCCCAAGCTACTAATACTTCCCTTCCTTCCCGAGAACGTCAGAATCTGGGTTTTCTCCGGAGCTATTTCCAGATCCAATTCCGCCAAATACTCTCTAAGTCTTTCCAACGCTTCTTCCAGCCTCCTAACTCCCCCCTCTCTATCTACATACTCCAAATACACAGCTATATCATCCGCATACTGTAAGATTTTCACCTCTAGTTCCCTAATCACCTGTCCCACTCCTGATGTATATAAATTATACAGTAGAGGACTCAAGAGAGATCCCTGAGGCAATCCCCTCAAGATACTCATCCTATCCCTCTCTCCATCCGCCTTCAACACCTCCAATTTCCTATCCCTTAACCAACCT